ACACTTTTTTATCCTATCCTATCAAAGTTATCCCTCTTTAACTAGCATTCATACATATCCTAAAGGTCTCCCTTCCCCCCAAGCCACACGATTGTTTGAGTTAACCACTCATGCTTATGTTAAGAACAATAACTTGGAATGANCTCACACACTTTTTTATCCTATCCTATCAAAGTTATTCCCCCTTTAACTAGCATTCATACATATCCTAAAGGTCTCCCTTCCCCCCAAGCTACACGATTGTTTGAGTTAACCACTCATGCTTATGTTAAGAACAATAACTTGGAATGATAATTCCTTAACTAGTGTTTTTGGGTGAATTTCTGTAATTCCTTTATGCAAAGTGGTGTTCAGCTACAACAAATTCAGTAAGGTTGGTTTTTGGATCAAGAAAGAGACAAAGCCAGTTGGTTGTAATCAATACACGTTCTTCGGTGGACGATACGGAGGTTTTTAAAATGGTTAACAACTCTNCATGTTGGTTGTTATCAATACACGTTCTTCGGTGGACGATACGGAGGTTTTTAAAATGGTTAACAACTCTTTTAATGGTGAAAGAAAGGTTATTTAGAACCTGTTAGCTCTAGAACGGGGCTCCTCCAATAGTGTGCGACAACNCTTTTAATGGTGAAAGAAAGGTTATTTAGAACCTGTTAGCTCTAGAACGGGGCTCCTCCAATAGTGTGCGACAACTATATTAATGAAGGGAATAAATTTTTTTTAGGCAGCCAAACAAAATACAGCAGCTATACAAAAACACAATCGAATATTCAGAATTCTCAATAAATTTGTGTAGCTCTTGACTGTCTGCAAACAATATAGACTACCTATAAACAATTTATTCTCATTAACGAAAGTTGCCCACCCAACCCCCCTCAAGACATAATCTCGGATCTTACTATGTCACTATAAATTTTTATTGGTCGAATCTACTTCGTCAGTCACACAAATCTCTCATGATATATGGTTGTCTATCCTTTGCCATTGTGTCTCTTTTTTTTCTTTTTTTTAATAGTCAAGAGTGTTTGAATTAGTTTACGTGCATCTCGATTAATTTCCTTTTCAGTCTGATTAGAGACAAGTCATCCATGCCTAAACTAGAGTATTTATGAGGGTCATAACCTGATTTCAATGAGTTGTCAAAATTCGAACTCAGAACAATTGAATTTATATCTCGTCCATGCTATTATATCTCTTTCGCAATACATATAGAGCAATGATGTGGTTTTAATACAATCATTGAATTAGTTGTGAGTTCCAATATTAGATAGAGTCCACAATCAATCCAATGATTATACATCATTACTCATCCACGTCTTCGCTCATGTTCCTGTGCAAAGAAAACATATTGGATGTAATCAATGACACCACATAGTATTAATCATCTCGTGTACTAACTAAACTTAGTGGGTTTTGTTTTTTAATTTGGTAATTAACAATAACTATTTATCATGTTGGAATAGTGTGGTTTATCAATCTTATTTATTATTTTTACAAAAAAAATCAAGAATTTGAATGACAATATGACATTGAGTTGGTGGTCTAGTAGTTTGTAATATTTTATTTAAGGTAGTAACCAAGTTCGATTTACAATGACTCATATTGTTCCCACTGACAGCTTTATAGTGTAGGATTAAACTATGACTCGAGTTATTAGCCTTTGAGAGTGTCTATAATCTCTCTTCATCTAGACTCCACTGGTGAGCTTCCCTCTTTCCCTCGAACATTTTTTACCGAGCAAAATAAATATAAAAATGTGACAATATGAGAGAAGTTAGGACAACAGTAAATTCCATAAGACGCAAAAATGGAACTTAGGAGCTTTATCTGGTTTTAACCTGGGTGTGATAGTGAAGGTTCGTCATGAATTCTCCTTCCTATTGTTGTTATCATATGCAGAAAATCTTTGCAGATGATAGAGAGGCAATATTTCTTGAAGGCTCAGTGTCATGAATTTGATTATAAGAGTGTCAAATATTAATATGTAATCCGATATTCAGTTAGCATAAATTAATGGATTTGATATCAAATTTATTTTTGTGGGTCGTAATCGAGTCGAAATGCATCACTTAAATCATTAAGTAGATTAATATGAGTNCATAAATTAATGGATTTGATATCAAATTTATTTTTGTGGGTCGTAATCGAGTCGAAATGCATCACTTAAATCATTAAGTAGATTAATATGAGTCGTGATGGTAGTGGGGATAATGGTGGTTGAAACAGCACCGGTGACAACGATGATGATTGTGACAGTTGTGTATCTTGATTCTCACGTAAATAAATAAAAAAAATTTAAGAGTAACTCAAATGGTAATAAGAACGAACTATAAACTCAGATATTCTAAGTTAAAATTTTCGTAATTCTTTTGAGATCCTTCATTAATACTCTAGTCCCGGTATGAATTGTCTTATCTTTCATCGGATCGAAGAAAAAATTAATCGAGATGCGTGTAAATTGGTCCGAACACCTTAACTATAAATNGTCTTATCTTTCATCGGATCGAAGAAAAAATTAATCGAGATGCGTGTAAATTGGTCCGAACACCTTAACTATAAGTTCAAATAAATCATTCAATTTTTTACTTGAGATTTCCCTATCACACAGTAAGTAATGTTCAAAAAAATACCATAAATATCAAAGTAAATAATTAGTCCATTATTGTTGACATAACTTCTTATGGGAGGAGAAGGATTAGAAATTTACAACTCATCATAACAGAAATTGCCTTTTAAAAACTACTACTTCATGTAGACATGTCCTATTTCGAATCTACCCATGTAGCCTTGCACAAAATAATCCGGTTTCCTTTCAAGCATCATTTCATACAATTAACACTACAATTCTATTCTAGAGGCAAATGTCAGCCTTTATGCTTTGTTTGGTATAACAAAAAAAAAATGAAAGAATAAAAGGTTAATAGGATAAATAAATATATGATGTTTGGTAAAAAAAAAAAAAGAATGATGGAACATTTGACTATCCTTCTAAAATTAGGAAGAAAAATAGATAAAAAAAATTAATTATTTGTATTAAGATACATAATATTTACCTTTATATCTTTTAATATGTGTATATATTCTATTTATCTATTACATGTTATGTACACATTAATTTTCTATAGAGATACAATAGTAAAATATATCTATACTTTTTTCATCCTATCACTTCTCATTCTATTAAAAAATAAAAAAAAAAAAGAGCAAAAAGGAATGACCTAGTGGTTAGTGTCTTTCCCATCTTACCCCCTAATTCAAGATTGGAGTCTCATATAAAAATAATAATTATTATTATTATTTTTCTTCCTTCTAACAAACACAAAAGAGAAAATGAATGATTCTTCTATTGAAGAATAAAAAGTGTATNATTATTATTATTTTTCTTCCTTCTAACAAACACAAAAGAGAAAATGAATGATTCTTCTATTGAAGAATAAAAAGTGTATCTATCACTTTCTATCCTATTATATTTTTAAAAGGGCAAAAAATAGTAATAGTAAAGAACAAGCCACTTTAAATAAAACAACAGAAAATTTCACTATTAAAAAAAAAACTTCTTTTACTATTAAAAAAAAAAAAAAGAAAACTTCTTCTTTTTTTTTTTTCTTTTGTGCTACCAAACACCAAAGAAACATTATTAATACCATATGTTATTAATTTAAATACTTTATCAAGGTCCACTTTTCTCCACAACCAAACACACCCATTGAGGTGGGAGTTAGGAATACGGGAAAGGGTTGGGTATTGCCGTATGCGCATCGCGCACCTCTGCGCACCGTTGGTTCCCACCAGTATTAAATACTACTTTAACTGCGCTTGCTTTCACTCCGTAATCATTACGTTATCATATTTTAACTTCATATTTCTCGTCGGCGATTTGACGGAATCTTCGTTTCTTCGCCGCCGTTACTTGCCGGAATCTGGCCCACGAATCTACTGTTTTTTCTATATCAATCTGCCCTAAACTTACCCTTTTTTGGGTCTCTTTTTTCTTTGTATAACTAAGCTTTCTTTGTATGTTTGGTNGTTTTTTCTATATCAATCTGCCCTAAACTTACCCTTTTTTGGGTCTCTTTTTTCTTTGTATAACTAAGCTTTCTTTGTATGTTTGGTAGTATTATACTCTATAGACGTACCCCCATTGGTTTTCTTGATTTTCTTGAGATCTGAAGCGAAGTTGATGATCTATGAAGCTTTTGGCGATAAGGGTCTTCTTAATTTCTTGGTGGGATTTGAATCTCTGTAAGTCTAAGTTAAATTTCGTGTTATTATCTCAATTTGTGGGAAATGTAATGGAATATTTGAGGTTTTTTTGGGTATTTTTATTAGGTTGTTTTAGCTTGGATCTTGGTGAATGTAGAGAGTTTATGTGAATTTGGTTACTTGAGTGTAGTGATGGACGCGCTTTTGGTTTTTGACTGAGTTTGAATTTAGCTTGACTATTCTGTAGTGAATGGAAATATATTGGAAGGGTTAGTGTCTCTTGATTCATGATGTTAGTTGATTTTTTGTGGCTGTTGGGTGTATGATCAATTTTGTTCTTGATTTAGGTGTAAATTTTAAGTTTGATATTGAAGTCCTCTGTGTTGAAGTAAATTCATTTGAATGATTTATGATCTTAATCAGGATATTTGTTAAAAAAGTATGGATTTCGAATGTAGGTGAACTGGGTTTTTGAGTTAAAGTCTAAACTCGAAATTACTTTCGAGATCTTGTGATTTGTATCTCATTATTCCCAATTGTGTTATCTGACTCAGAAATCTTGGATATTTTTTAATTGAATTCATGTTTTAGTTTTGTAATTGTTTTGACGTTAGTTTTTCCTTTTTACATGAATTTGACGTTAACCAAAAACCGAATTATAGCTTGAAATTCTGAGTTGTCTTATATTTTGCAGACATGTAGATATGGTTTTGTTGAGAATTGGCCTTCAGTTGTTAAGCATTATGGATTTTCTGTAAATTTCCTTGGAGAATTGGGTTTGAAATTTGAATTTTGAGATGGAACCAACCAAAGAAGAGGCCCTTAGAGCTAAAGAAAATGCCGAGAAGCTATTTGCGGTGAAAAACTTTGCTGGGGCAAAGGATTATGCTTTAAAGGCTCAAAAGTTGTGCCCTGAACTGGAGGGTATATCTCAAATGGTAGCCACATTTGAAATTTATACTGCTTCTGAGGTGAAAATTAATGGAGAAATAGATTTCTATTCTATTCTTGGATTGAAGCCATCTGCAGACAAAGCTATGTTGAAGAAACAGTACAGAAAGATGGCCGTTTTGCTCCACCCTGATAAGAACAAAACTGTGGGAGCTGATGGGGCATTCAAGCTTGTCTCTGATGCATGGACTTTGTTGTCTGATTCTAACAAAAGAAGCACGTACGATCTCAAAAGAAACATGAATTTGTCATCAGGTGTTTTCCAGACAAACTTATCTTCAGTTCAAAGTGCTGGGGTTACTGGATTAGACAATTTTTCCATATCTTCAGCCTCTCGCAATAAACTTGACACTTTTTGGACTGTGTGCACCTCTTGTCATGTGCAGTATGAATATCTTCGGAAGTACATCAATAAAAGACTTTCCTGTAAGAACTGCCGTGGTGTTTTCATTGCCGTTGATACAGGAGCAGCCCCAATAAATGGCTCTTTCCCGTATTGTGCTTGGTCAAATGTGCCTGATGATCAGTATAGAAGTCATGGATATGGAGTTACATATGTCCCAACTACTTCTGTATACTTCACGGGAAATGGAGTCTCAGGACTTCATTCTGGACATGGATCTGAGTATGCTTCTAATGCATCACTTCATTGGAGCTCGTTTCCTGGAGCCCCTACTGGAGTTTTGGATCCTAATGGATTATCAACGTCTGCTGATCTTATTCATTTGACAAATGGAAAAGTCCAATCAAGAAAAGCCAATGGAAAACATCATATGAAAAATGCTGGTGGTGATGTGTGTTCCATTGGGTATAGTGTGTATCATGAACCACCGGTCCTCAAGGCCAGTAGATCCACTAAGAAAAGGAAGGTTGAGCTGGGAAGCACTTGTCGTCATGGAAATGAAGAAACCGCTTCCAGAACTGCCCCAGAAGTGGGAGTGGTTAATGGAAATGGAATTATCAAACAGAGTAGTCAGCTTTCCACTGGTGAAATTTTGGCCAGACGCTGCTCTGCTGCCACTGCATTTGATGCTAGAAAATTATTAATTGACAAGGCGAGAACAGAAATTCGTAAGAAACTGGAAGAAATGAAGTTGGCTTCAGCTGCAGCAGCTGCTGTCGCTGCAGTGGCTGAGAATAACAAAAAAGCACATATTGAAGTCACTCAATCCAGTGAGGCACCTAAAAGAGCAGGTTTGAGTGATCCTAGTCTTCAACCAGAGCTGCAGAAAACTGGGTCGGTGTCAATAGTAGTCCCTGACTCAGACTTCCATGATTTTGACAAGGATAGATCAGAGGAATGCTTCAAGCCTAGGCAAATATGGGCTCTCTATGATGAAGAAGATGGTATGCCTCGCTTGTATTGTCTGATCCGTGAGGTCATCTCAGCAAAACCATTTAAAATTCATATCAGTTACTTGAACTCAAAAACTGATGGTGAATTTGGGCCCGTCAATTGGGTGGATTCAAGGTTTACGAAAGGTTGTGGAAATTTCAGGGCATACAACTCCGAAATTGTTGACCAAGTTAATATCTTCTCTCATCTTTTGAGCCGGGAGAAAGCTGGCAGGGGTGGCTGTATTAGAATCTACCCAAAAAGTGGGGACATATGGGCTGTATATCGGAATTGGTCACCAGATTGGAACAGAAAAACCCCGCATGAAGTTAGACACCAGTATGAGATGGTGGAAGTTCTTGATGATTATTCTGAAGAGCTTGGTGTATGTGTTACTCCTTTGATTAAATTAGATGGATACAAGACAGTGTATCAGCGTAACACGAATAAAGATGCCATTCGTTGGATTCCAAGAAGAGAGATGTTACGGTTTTCACACCAGGTGCCATCTTGCTATCTGAGAGGAGAAGCCATGAAGCTGCCTGGGGGTTGTTGGGATCTAGACCCTGCTGCAACTCCAGACGAGCTTCTCCAGGCTGTAACTGAAGTACAGGCCAAAGAAAAGCCTAGTGATGCAGAAAACACTGTTGGAACTCCAGGTGAGCTTTGTCAGTCTGGAACCAAAGCAGAGGCTCAAGAAAATCCTAGTTAAACAGAAAAGTCGGTTGCAACAACAGATTTGCATCTTCAGGATATAACTGAAGGAAAGCCTGGTCAATCAAAAACTATTCTGGACCTCGAGATGAGCTTCACAAGGCTGAAACCAAGACACAAGGTGAAGAAAAGTGTGCTCAAACATAGAATACCACTGCAACTCCAATGATTGTTTTCCGACTGTAACAGAAGTACAGGGGGAAGAAATGCCTAGCCAAGGAGAAAAGTAAGTCCAGAGGGTCCTCTTTATCATTGTTCTGACAATCTCAAGATTCAAAATGTACAGATCTGAACACATAATGACATTTCATTTCTCAAAACTTAGGTAGCTGAGAGGATCACAAGATGATCCATTCCATCAATCCTAGATTGTTGTAGCCAGCCCTATGCTTACTGAGTAATTTGTGACTCGAATTCAAATCTATCAACTGCTTGTTTACAGAAATGGTTCTGCTGTTTTAGATGGATATAAAACTTCTGTCAATGCAACGTGGAAAGTTGGGTCATTGGGCCCTATTAACTTTCAGTAATTGTCCAGTGATTGTGAATGTACCAGATCATTTGGTGTAGAAAATTTGAGAACTTATTGGTACACAACATTACTGGATGCAGACTTTGGGCCAGGAAGATAATAGGTTCATGCCTTGATAATTCAGGCCCTTGAAAGAAGAACCTTGCATAGCTTGCAANACTGAAGTACAGGCCAAAGAAAAGCCTAGTGATGCAGAAAACACTGTTGGAACTCCAGGTGAGCTTTGTCAGTCTGGAACCAAAGCAGAGGCTCAAGAAAATCCTAGTTAAACAGAAAAGTCGGTTGCAACAACAGATTTGCATCTTCAGGATATAACTGAAGGAAAGCCTGGTCAATCAAAAACTATTCTGGACCTCGAGATGAGCTTCACAAGGCTGAAACCAAGACACAAGGTGAAGAAAAGTGTGGTCAAACATAGAATACCACTGCAACTCCAGATGATTGTTTTCCGACTGTAACAGAAGTACAGGGCGAAGAAATGCCTAGCCAAGGAGAAAAGTAAGTCCAGAGGGTCCTCTTTATCATTGTTCTGACAATCTCAAGATTCAAAATGTACAGATCTGAACACATAATGACATTTCATTTCTCAAAACTTAGGTAGCTGAGAGGATCACAAGATGATCCATTCCATCAATCCTAGATTGTTGTAGCCAGCCCTATGCTTACTGAGTAATTTGTGACTCGAATTCAAATCTATCAACTGCTTGTTTACAGAAATGGTTCTGCTGTTTTAGATGGATATAAAACTTCTGTCAATGCAACGTGGAAAGTTGGGTCATTGGGCCCTATTAACTTTCAGTAATTGTCCAGTGATTGTGAATGTACCAGATCATTTGGTGTAGAAAATTTGAGAACTTATTGGTACACAACATTACTGGATGCAGACTTTGGGCCAGGAAGATAATAGGTTCATGCCTTGATAATTCAGGCCCTTGAAAGAAGAACCTTGCATAGCTTGCAAATTCTAACCTTTATCTAAATTCATGATCTAGCCGGTGAGCAGCCGGCTTGGTGGATTTCACCTAGCTAATTACCGCGCTGACAAAATTCATGTTGGCATTGTGTTTTCACTTAGCAGGACCTCTGCAGAATCTTTGGTTGCATACTCTGAAGGCAACAGCTTCAGTCTGCATATAAATGAAGCTTTGCTATGAGAATATAGTTACAACTCAATTTTGCTTTGATGGACATATGAGCTTTTATTTTGCCTGTGAGTTAGTATTGACTTCCATGGGAACACAAAGATCCAGTTCAGGAACATGTATCTACATGAAAACAGACAGGTGAATTGGTGAACATAACCTTGTACACGTCTCTCTCAATAAAAACAAATTGGTGTTATGGATAAAGAATTTCTTAAAGCTACAGAACATGTTCACGTGATAAAAAAGGCATACCTAGTGCACAAGGCTCCTGCTAATANCTCAAACATAGAATACCACTGCAACTCCAATGATTGTTTTCCGACTGTAACAGAAGTACAGGGGGAAGAAATGCCTAGCCAAGGAGAAAAGTAAGTCCAGAGGGTCCTCTTTATCATTGTTNGTCAAACATAGAATACCACTGCAACTCCAGATGATTGTTTTCCGACTGTAACAGAAGTACAGGGCGAAGAAATGCCTAGCCAAGGAGAAAAGTAAGTCCAGAGGGTCCTCTTTATCATTGTTCTGACAATCTCAAGATTCAAAATGTACAGATCTGAACACATAATGACATTTCATTTCTCAAAACTTAGGTAGCTGAGAGGATCACAAGATGATCCATTCCATCAATCCTAGATTGTTGTAGCCAGCCCTATGCTTACTGAGTAATTTGTGACTCGAATTCAAATCTATCAACTGCTTGTTTACAGAAATGGTTCTGCTGTTTTAGATGGATATAAAACTTCTGTCAATGCAACGTGGAAAGTTGGGTCATTGGGCCCTATTAACTTTCAGTAATTGTCCAGTGATTGTGAATGTACCAGATCATTTGGTGTAGAAAATTTGAGAACTTATTGGTACACAACATTACTGGATGCAGACTTTGGGCCAGGAAGATAATAGGTTCATGCCTTGATAATTCAGGCCCTTGAAAGAAGAACCTTGCATAGCTTGCAAGTTCTAACCTTTATCTAAATTCATGATCTAGCCGGTGAGCAGCCGGCTTGGTGGATTTCACCTAGCTAATTACCGCGCTGACAAAATTCATGTTGGCATTGTGTTTTCACTTAGCAGGACCTCTGCAGAATCTTTGGTTGCATACTCTGAAGGCAACAGCTTCAGTCTGCATATAAATGAAGCTTTGCTATGAGAATATAGTTACAACTCAATTTTGCTTTGATGGACATATGAGCTTTTATTTTGCCTGTGAGTTAGTATTGACTTCATGGGAACATAAAGATCCAGTTCAGGAACATGTATCTACATGAAAACAGACAGGTGAATTGGTGAACATAACCTTGTACACATCTCTCTCAATAAAAACAAATTGGTGTTATGGATAAAGAATTTCTTAAAGCTGCAGAACATGTTCACGTGATAAAAAAGGCATACCTAGTGCACAAGGCTCCTGCTAATATGGGGTCTGGGGAAGATTAGATATACGCAATCGTGACGGTGATGTCCACGAAAACAAATATTTACTGTAGACATAGTAATCACCTTATGTTCCATTAACTAGTTATGAAACACGACATTATGATTACACAATGCAAAGTAATGAACTCAAATTATTCAAGTATTGCTATTATGTTTTAGAAGAAACATCCAATTTACTTGTACCTGTTTAAGAAAAGAATGGCAATAAGCAATCTAGGCTATTAAACGTTATGCTCCATTTCTAGTGTAAGTGGTTAAATTCTTCATATCTTTACTAATTTAAAATGTCTACATATCTGAAATACTTTTTTTTTTCCACTTTTATCAGAAAAACTTTTTTTTCCACTTTTACCCTCCAAAAAAATAAGTATTTCATTTTTATCCTTCAAAATTAATGGCACACTAAACCTAATTTATCACCTCCAACTTACTGCATTCCAATTATGCAGCCGTTACAACACCCTTCTCTCTCTACCATTCGGTGAACAACAAGCAGCCACGCTCCCTCATGTTCCATCTCTCTCTCTCTCTCTCACACACACATTCATCACTCGGTGAAAAACAAAAAGTCATGCTCCCTTTCTTCTCCTTCCCCAATCCAATTGCAATATGTGTCATTCACATCATAGAATCGAACATTTCCGCATTCATGATACCGGTTAGAAGATCTAAATTTGCAATCATCAATTCATTGCCATCAAAGATATTGGCTGTTATAGTTTTGGTTTAGTGGAGGCATGGTTTTTGGTTTTGGTTATTCATAATGTTAATTACAATATGTTGTTTATAGGTGTTGTTATCTGAAGCAAGGGCATGCATGTATTCATTAGGTGGTTTCACATGTTATCTATAAATCTGTAGAGCTAATTATTATATGGAATCTTGCTTCTCAGGGGTGATTGGAAGGAGCTGAAATTTAAAAGAGTATAACTTTAGTGCCAAAGGTCAGCCCTGTTGAGGTGGTAATCTCCATTCATTGCTCAAGGCAAGGTTTTTTTTTGGACAAACTTCATTCACACCCCCTCTAGATAAATATATCTACAATGAGACCCCCTCTAGATAAGTATATTTTCAAAGTGACCCTCTCTGTTTTCTAATTTTTTTTACGTAATTAAATTCGAACCGATTAAAATTCGATTCAAGTTAATTAAAATTTATATTTTTTTTACGTATTAGAATTTGGGCTAATTAAAATTTTGTTTGAGCCAATTAAAAATTATTTTTAATCGACTCAAATCAAATTTTAATTAATTCGCATTGAATTTTAATCAGCCTAAATTTTAATATATAAAAATATATGAATTTTAATTGACTTAAATTTTAATAAATATAATTTTAATTGACACAAATTTTAATAAGTAAAAAAATATAAATTTTAATCAACTCGAAAGAGAATTTTAATCGGTGCTAACAACTCGGGTAGAGTTCAAATTTTAATATGTAAAAAAAAATTTTAATAGGCTCAATTTTTTTTAAAAAATTTACGAATTAGTAAATAACAAATTAGTATTTACTAAAAAATTATTTACTAAAATTGTTATTTATGATTTTTTTTAAAAATTTTAACAGCTCGAANGATAGAATCGAACATTTCCGCATTCATGATACCGGTTAGAAGATCTAAATTTGCAATCGTCAATTCATTGCCATCAAAGATGATTTCGATCTAAAAACTCTCCAAGTAAGTCTTCAAACTTTTTCTCCCTTAGTTACATGATCTTATTAATACGTTCCAACTTGTAGCAATATAGATTAAAAGTGACATGATGTTGGCTGTTATAGTTTTGGTTTAGTGGAGGCATGGTTTTTGGTTTTGGTTATTCATAATGTTAATTACAATATGTTGTTTATAGGTGTTGTTATCTGAAGCAAGGGCATGCATGTATTCATTAGGTGGTTTCACATGTTATCTATAAATCTGTAGAGCTAATTATTATATGGAATCTTGCTTCTCAGGGGTGATTGGAAGGAGCTGAAATTTAAAAGAGTATAACTTTAGTGCCAAAGGTCAGCCCTGTTGAGGTGGTAATCTCCGTTCATTGCTCAAGGCAAGGTTTTTCTTTGGACAAACTTCATTCACGCCCCCTCTAAATAAACATATCTACAATGAGACCCCCTCTAGATAAGTATATAGTCCAAAAGGGCTATTGACTGAACTAAGTTATCAAGTCAAATGTATTTCGGACATGTCACAAAATTAATGACATACAATAGAAGACGAGCTTGAAAATTTGGGGTCATTGCCTTCTTTCTCTAAGACTCAAAACAAGGTTTTTTTTGTCATTCAAATTGTCAAATATATGAAATACATGAAAAACATCAATTAACAACATAAATGAAAAACAATTTTTTTTTTCATTTTTACCCTCAAATACTTCAACGATGTCATGCTTATCCTCTAGATTTAATGCTAACCTTACTTAATTTAGTCTTCATATAAATACCATTTCATTAATATTATTTACACCCAGCTTTTTCGTGGTCTTTGCTTTAATACACATCCAAATATTTTCCATTGCCCGTATCTACGTCTTCCGCTCTTTATTCCACTAAACTTAGGACTCTCCATTTTATTGTTTCTCCAAGTGTCCTGCCCTCCCAAATTTCTCTATTGCTTTCTATATAATTTGCCAACAGGTGTGAAGCTTGAGTCTCTGTCTTCTTTGAAAAAGTTCTCTTATCGTTGGAACATAGTGGATCAAATGTTGTTCATTATTTGCTTTCTTCATGTTGTGGATTTTGTTTGTGATTTTTCGAATACGAGATACATCAATTGATTTTTAATNGAAAAAGTTCTCTTATCGTTGGAACATCGTGGATCAAATGTTGTTCATTATTTGCTTTCTTCGTGTTGTGGATTTTGTTTGTGATTTTTCGAATACGAGATACATCAATTGATTTTTAATNAAATAGTAGTTTAATGGTAAGGGGTATTAGTGATGTTTAAATTAAACTAGAAGGGGTGTCATTGAAGATTCAAAAACTAGAGGGGGTGTTCTTAAAAATATGATAAACTAGAGGGGGTGTCGTTGAAATTTTTCCTTTTTTTTTTTTATAATTATTCTACAGTACCTTTTGTAAATTTTTTTTTATATATTTTTTGGTGAACCTCAACCTCAAACAACTCTTGTATTGGTAACAAGTTGCAAAATTGCTGATGGAACCAAATTGGGCAAGAATTTATTTATTTTTTAGAAAACAAATTGTAAATATGTNGTTCATTGCTCAAGGCAAGGTTTTTCTTTGGACAAACTTCATTCACGCCCCCTCTAAATAAACATATCTACAATGAGACCCCCTCTAGATAAGTATATAGTCCAAAAGGGCTATTGACTGAACTAAGTTATCAAGTCAAATGTATTTCGGNTCTTAAAAATATGATAAACTAGAGGGGGTGTCGTTGAAATTTTTCCTTTTTTTTTTTTATAATTATTCTACAGTACCTTTTGTAAATTTTTTTTTATATATTTTTTGGTGAACCTCAACCTCAAACAACTCTTGTATTGGTAACAAGTTGCAAAATTGCTGATGGAACCAAATTGGGCAAGAATTTATTTATTTTTTAGAAAACAAAT